CTAAGGGTTATTTTACTTAAAAACAATATAAATGAATCAATACCTCTAAATATCCATCTAAGGGTTATTTTACTTAAAAACAATATAAATGAATCAATACCTCGACGTGTTACCAGGAAGTCCTGCTGAGACTATTTTTGGTGCTGATTAGATTGACTTTCACTTCCTTTATTTTCTTCTTGAAACCTCCCCCCCACCCCGTAAAAATATACAGCAGGTTAAGCAACATAACCTGGGGTTATTCTTCTCCTATTACCCCAGTATTGCCTCTGGGCTTGTTTGAGATGGCTTATCATGGGGAGAATGTGGAGTCCTGAACTCTGATCAAAAATCCAGCATGCTGGAACCTGTGCGCTAGGAAATAACTGCCTTCATGGACAGCTAAGCTGCAAGATACCCCTCACGGAAAGTCTCACCGAATGTCACAGGTTTGAAAACTGGTGATGATCAGAGTTCTTTTGCTTGTATAGCCCAGCATTTTTTCAATTTTGTTTCATAGGTAATATTCAAGTCTTACTCATAAAACTCCAGGTACTGGGCCTCTCGATACAATCACTCATTCAACTAGCAAATTTCAAACACCTTTTGTGTTCTTTGAAGCTATGTAGCCCCGTGGTTAAGAGCATAAGCTTTGGAGTCAGACCTAGTTTGGTAGCACTAGCCTCAGACCCAGGCAGGAGGTGGAATAGTACGTGGGGGGTCTGTACGAGGCTCCACGTCCCTGTTCCGGCTGCTGGGGTTGGGATTGAGGAGTATGCACGGTCAAAGGGCGCATTCCTGTAGAACCTGTGCTCTTTGTGGCCACCCTGCCTTTTAGGCCATCATCCAGGTTCCAGGAACCCTAGAATTTTCTGCCTCAGGGCCCAAGCCTAATTCCAGTCTGCTCAGGCCTCTTCCCAGGTCCTTTTCTCTGAAAGTGCATTATATCACTAGGGGATCACTCTCAGGCTCAGAGAGGGGCAAAGGACAGACATTTGGGGGGGGGGGATGTGGAAGGAGTTTGGCTGCACAGACTGGCACAGAGTCATTGTGAAAATGGAAACTATTTAACACAGTGCCTACCATGCAGTGGATGCTTGACAAATGTTATTTTTGACAAATCCCTTAGTATCTTATTACGTGATATTTTCTGCTTTGAGAGAGAGAGAGAGAGAGAGAAAGAAAATAACCATGAGAATAAAGCTTCTATAGGGGGACACTATTTATTTTATTATTATTTTTTAATGTTTATTTATTTTTGAAAGAGAGAGAGAGCAAGCAGGGGAGGGAAAGAGAGAGAGAGACACACACACAGAATCTGAAGCAGGCTTCAGGCTCTGGGCTGTCAGCACAGACCCCGACTTGGGGCTTGAACCCACGAACCAAGAGATCATGTCCTGAGCCAAAGTTGGATGCTTAACCGACTGAGCCACCTAGGCGTCCCTAGGGGACACTATTTTAATTTTTGGTATCCAAAATGGAATCTTTTTCAGTAACTTGGCTATTGTGCTGGCCCAAT